ATATATATATATATACAAACTTGTGCGTAAAATAAAAAGATGCAGATACAGTATTTACTTTCCAAGCGCCACAAAGACATCCTCAAACTGCAGAGCATCAGTCACTTTGGTCCATTTAATGCGGATGCGAGCAGGATCTGTGTTCTCGGGCTCATGGTGGAATCTGCAGGGTAGAGTGATGGAGCCACCCCGGTGTGTCACCACCTTACCAGGAGCTGTCTGCACAATCACAGCTCCAGACWCATCCTCTGAAAGAAGGTAGGAGGGAAATAAGCTCAGTTTCATTTATCTATATCACGTGTCAAACTCAAGGTCCATGAACCCACCAATTAACCCTACCACACCCACACAAAAACAAAAACATGTTCATCTTTGGCTTAATTTATTACATAAATATAATTTAAATTAATTTTAAACTTAAAATTTCCGATTCAATGCAACAAAATAAACAAGTTCAAAAAGAAAAAGGTAATACTTGTCTGGCCCCTGAGCTGTTGGCTTTAATAACTGTGGCCCCCTGAACAATTTAGATAGCTCTGTTTTAATGTCTCAAAATAAGCTGCTTTAAASCCAGTATTGATCATGAACTATGTGCTGGAACTAATACTTTTAGGTTTAAGCCAGTTATTCGTGACATACTTTAATGACCAAAGTTTTCATGACATGCTGTTCATCTGTGATTATAGTCAGAGCAAGATTTGCTAACAACAATCATTCTTAGATATCACTTGTGTTTAGCTTTATGTTTTCCCTTGACCTAGTATGAAATCTTGCTAAGATGACATAATTGTTTGTTAAACAATATATATGTATGAGGCCTCTCAAGTGCAGCAGGACTGACACAGACACAGAGGCAGAAGCAGCAGCAGAGAGCAGGGGGATCGTCTGATGGCTCTATGTTGTTCCTTGYGTTTCCTGTTGTTGCAATAAAACTCAGCTGATCATCTCACAGAGTACCTTCATTCTTGGACCATGTATTTCTGTCTTTGTTAAATAAATATTTCCATAACAAACTACACCTGCCTAAATGCAAGTTAATTATTTTATCTGGAAAATTACAGCATCCCACCACTGGGTGGAGGTGAACAGGGTTCAAAATCTATATTTAGTTGCATTTTTTCCAGCTACTTGCTACTATCTAGTTGTACTGGAAAGTAGTTGTACTGGGAAGTGGGAATATCCCACTTACAAGTCGTAAATTTAAGCTGGAATGCCCCTCCAGTGCGAATTCCCTGTTGGAAAGTGGGAAAGCTCAGAATTCAAGATGACAGCTACTTATCACAACTCATTAGTGAGTAAAACTCTCTTACTTTTTATAGTATTTCTTTTTTATTTATTTCACATTTAGTCAGTTGTACATGTAGTGCGCTTTTCAGTGTTTTAAAAGAGGACGGGTTACAACGCTGTTTCTATGCAGGAAATACCATGTAGAGCTCAGTTATTGGATGTCAGCAGGGCTCAGCCATTGTAATGAGAYGAGGAATGTGACATTTTGTGTTAAGTCAAAGTTAAACACAGAATGTTGAAGTTAATTACAACTGGCCCTTTGAGGCTCACCATAACGCTCTTGTAGACTTGTAGACCTCGGTGAAAATGAGTTTAGGCTCCTACATACTCGGGCGTACTGTTTGCTGTCAGTGAGCCGCGCGGACTCCGCGCATATTGTCCGCGGACGTTTGAGACTTCATACTCAAGTGTACTGACCGCTGGACAAATTCTTAAATTTCTTGCAATTTCAGTCATGATGTCAAGGATCAGGAGGAAGAGATAGTTTGCATTTTAGCTTTAAAACAATAAAAGGAAAAAAGAACAGAGCTACCTTACCCAGGATCTGAGCTATTTCCTCCCACAAATTTGTTGCTCACTAAAAGTCTTYATATTCCTTCATTGACACGTCATAAAGTTTTCTAATCTCCTCCATGAGACGCTTTTCAAGATTTGACTCAATTTCGTCCACAAATGACACMGATTCTCAACTTTATCAGCTTGGTGTCGCACCCAAAACAGTACATGCCATTGTGCGCACCGCGGACATAAAAAAATTTATCTCTGCGCGGACCAGTCCAGCGGACATCTGCTTCGGGTCCGTATTGAGTCCGCCTCGAGTCTGTGCGGACCTCCGTGGACCGAAGTACRCCCGAGTATGTGGGGGCCTTTTGACACCCCTGGTCTACACTCATAAAACCTAAATCATTTATTTTTTCATATTACGCTATCTGATTACTTTTATGTAATTTTATACWATACATAAAACTGATTAATTTTTATTCCAAATTTATCATCACATTTTCCACCTCTCCAAAATCTGACATAAGTTCCTACAGAGCCCATTTTACCTTAAAAAATACCAAATAAACAAACAAAGTAACTGTTTACCCAAACTAACATATGAGGACTTGTTCGGTAGAAATTTGTCTGAGAATAACAGAAGCATGTAAATGTATTGTAACAAGTAGCTGCGAGAGGCTTTTTGAAACATTCAGACCAGATAATGGCTCCTACAATTATTCATGCCAGTCAGCAGTAACTGCCTTCACTGCCAGCTGCTCTCATCAAACAGTGCCATCAAAGTATCAAGTAGAGTTCAATCAAAACTTTCAGCCAATTGTTTCTACCAGGAAAAACCTTTTCATTGTTCAGTTGGAGATGACAAATTGTTCTTTTTCTTTTTAAAGAGTAACTTACCCCAAAATAAAAAAATTTTAGCTGATAAACTGTCTAGAATGTGTCTAAAATGTTATATAGTACTGTTTCTGTGCTAATTTTGATGTTTTTGTGTGTATTTGTTCAAATCTGTAATATTTGGTCTAAAAACGTCTTTTTTGCTGCTCATATGGGTAGAGCAGTGGTACTGCAGGCTAATTTGCACATTGGTTAACGGCTCTCCGCTGTGACGTGTCTTCTGCACAGTTTCGTCACAGCGGCTGTGTTCTGGTATAAAAGCCTCTCTCTAAGACACGCCCCTGCACCAGTCAGAGGGTGGAACAGTTAGCAAGCTTAGCATGATCGTCTGCTGACCTTCAGCCTCAGGTGGGGAGAGCTGACTGCTGCCCCCCCCCCCCCCCCCTAAGTTTTTAGGGGTTTTAACAAAACATGACACTACTGAGCTTTAGTGATGCACAGAAACACACACACACACACACACACACACCAGCAGTACATCCTGCACAGCAGGAGGGGAGGAGGGGAATAAAGGTAGAAAGGCAGCGGGGCAGCAGCAGCCCTAATGGACCGAACTTCAGTCAAACAAGACCCAACACTTTTATTCCTGATTTAAACTAGTGATCTTGTGAGCAGCTGCAGCTGTATGCTTTTATTTTTATCTGTCAGGCTGTCATGGAGCGCTCCACCTCCTCTGTCCGAGGCTGGTGTGGTGTGAGGCGGACAGCTCAGCCGAGGCTGCTGGAGCTTCAAGTCCTGATCCAGGGAGCCAACATGAGTCAGTCCCAGACTGAGCTGACTTGATCAAGTCTCTCTCTCTGCCTCTGGTGAGGAGGGGGGTGAAAAATCCTCCACCTCAGACCAGAGATGTAACTATCTGCGTACAGTGCATACTGGTGTACAGTTCAAGACAAGTAATTTGTGGTACAGCACAATGAAAAGTAAACTGAATAGATGGGTGGGTGGGTAGGTAGGTAGGTAGGAGTGTTTCCCCTAGAGAATTGATCTTGGATGGGGGGTTAGACCAAACAAAATTCTTATGCACATGACTCTGTGTGTCAGCATTGGTGACGCAGATTATGAACTGCATTTTCTTCTTTTTTTCCAAGTTTATTAGGGGAAACACTGAGTACGCAGGTAGTTAGGTAGGTATGTAGTAAGGGTGCAACGATACAGAAAATTCACAATTTGGTTCAGTTCGAYACTGTAGTGTCATGGTTTGATATTTTTTGATGCAAAAAAAGATACATTTCAGTGCACTTCTATACTTGCAATTTATTAAAATAAATTATGAACATTTGTTTAACCTCAAAAGTACAGTTTTCAAACTAAATGTTGCTAAAACAGCAAGTTCCTCAGTGGATCTGTGCTCGACAATGCTGCCTAGGTGGAGTAGTCGAACACAGATCTACAGAGCRTCTTCAGAAGACAAGCTGATAAAATAAATTTCAAATATCTGTATTGTTTGTTACAAAGTGCATATTGAACCTAAAGCACTGTATARAACGATTCGATACAGATAGRTGTATTGTCGCACCCCTAGATAGGTTGGATGGCTGGATGAATAAAAGAGTRCAAATGTCTTCACCTAGAACATGCACCACTTTTCTGCTTCCTTTCTCTGCTTCAGCAGGCAGAGAGGATGAGAGGGCAGAGGTCAGGATKAACACCACTGAGAAGGTTTTCACAAAGATTGGAAGCTGACGTTGCTTTGCAAACTGCAGGGAAAAACAGACAAACAAKTTTCATTAACTTGCTTAAAGTAGCTGATAATCAAGATTATTCCATAGGTCTCTCTRATTTTGAAACTCGCTATGAACAGAGAAATCTGTTATAATTGGGATTACTAAACCTGGGAATRAATCATATCTGCTGAACTCTCATGCTGCAATGCAGAGAGAGCCCTGACTTTTTTTTTTTTTTTTTCAAAATAGCTGAATAAAATACACAACTGATTACAAATCARGATTGGCTGACGTGACCAGTTTTAGAAGAGGTTGTGCTTTTAAAAACAGTTCTACTAAACACAACCGCTTTATACATTTTATTTGAGCTGTGCCAAGCATGTAAACAAAAACAAAAAAACTTAGTAGTCAAAATGCAAGCCTAAATAAAATACTCTAATGTATTCCTCATTTATGCTGGGACACAGACGGAGCAAGGCTCAGTTTTGCTGTGTGTGCTTGGTGCAGAAGGAAAAAGTCTGAGGAGAATCCAATAAAACAAGAGAGAAAACGTAAACAAAGCTGTGCTGGCATGAAAACTACACACGGCTAAGTCTGTGCTTTTAGTTCAAGCACTTTTTTAGTACAGTTAGACATGAATTGGTGTTTAAGTTTATACTATCCCTATATAAATACTGGTTTTTTTACATGTTTACTTTTTTAGGGGTTTACGTTCATCAGCATTGCAGCAGAACTCTTGGACGTCTCATCTGCTCGTTCTTTTAAAGTGCTGATCAGTCCTCTGTTTTGATGCAGACAGTCCTCATGCATCAAACAGTCCTGAGCACTCTGCAGGTCCATGTGCTGGATATTCATTCAACTTTAAACAGATTGGAATGATGCTAACAAGAAGATCTGTGTCAAATTAGTTTGTTTGTTCAGGTTTGAATGGTCAGCATTTTACCTGTGCGTAATCCTCTTCTGTGATGAAGCCGTGATGAAGCTCTGCTGCAGCACATAAAAAAAGACTTACCAGGCCCCAGTGAGTCAAAGTTACTAAAACAGCAATTTACGCGCACGCTGTAAACAATGCTGCTGCATCGTTCKTCTCAAGGTTAGCCCTGTGAGCCTCCCTGCAGCTGCACAGTCATGAAGCACAGGGAGCTGCGGAGATCCGTCTCAGTTACTGAACACACAAATCATGTGGACTCACCATGGCTGTCGTGCAGGTTTGCAGCAGATGTTCCTCTGTGAAGCGTTTARGTCCTCATTCAGGATGAATGTTGCTCTGCAGCAGAAGCAGTCACCTCACTACCTCCATCCATTGCTGTTCTCACACACTGCAGGGGAAATACCCGTGTTTGTGGGGCCCGCAGTGCTTCAGTGACGCAGCCAATATTCGACCG